GGTAAATGTTAAAGTATAGGTAGGGAAAAAATGATGGTGATTTATTGGGTGAAATGCCTCTCCTTTTAGCCTAATATATCTCAACATATCTCTAGGGAGACTATGTTTGAAGGGTCAGAATCTTGGGCTCTGGCATCAAACAGGTTTGAATATGAAAGGACATTACATGGAGTTAATATACTCAACGAGTAGCCATTTTAACATTGCCTAGATCTGTCATGTTTTTCTAGCAGTTCACTAGAATATATCCTCTAATCCACCAGTCAAGGACAGAACTAGTTTTCCAGAGGTAGCTATTGATAATTGCTCTACAACCCCCTTCCCAGCTTGTTTCATAAACAAGTTAACCTAATCAGCTTTTCATGACCTTCATGACACAGTCTCCATCAACATGGCAACTGTCATGTGACTAACCCACCCATCTGCCTGCTATCATCACCTGACGGCAGTACTTGTGTGTACCTGCCCTCCGTGATGACGTGGAGCCGCCCAATCACCGTAAAGACCTTCCCCCGTCAAAGGGAAAGTTTTAAAAGGATTCGACTTCGAGCAGCCAGCTGCCATTGCTTTGCTAAGCCACGGTCTGATCATGTGGCTCCTTGAGACATGGTCGCCATGTTTCCTAGCCTTGGCCCCCCCTCCCCTATCTTGGGGAGGTGAATCTCCTCTCGCTCTCTAATTTACTTTTTAAATAACCTATATTTCCTAATCTAACTTCTGTGCAATACTTTGCATCTTTCACACCGCACCGGATCACACTACCCCACCCTGGTGGGTCTGACCCAACATTTGAAGCCCCCACTTGGAGATACGTGTGTGTGTGTGTGTGTGTGTGTGTGTGTGTGTGTGTAATTTTTTTTTTTTTAAAGCAGGATTTATTGAGAGGGCAGAAAAGCTTCCACAGTGAGAGGGGATCCAAGGAGGTTGCCATAGGATATAATTTTTAACCTAACAGAAAATTAGCTCTACCAATTAGAAGCTGTTTGACCTTGGGGATTTTATTTAACATTTCAGGTCTCAGTTTCCTTATCTGTAAAATGAATATAATAAGAATACCTAATTATTTCTTATTTTTGTATCTATTATTGAACCAATCTAGTCTTGACTTTTTTGTGTCCCTTTTCATTCTCTCTACTGGTTGGGAAGTTAGTTATACATAACATTCCTAGTTTTTCTTTTTTTTCCGAGTTGGAATCTCACTCTGTCACCCAGATGGGGTGCAGTGGCACGCTCCCGGCCACCGCAGCCTCGACCTGCTGGACTTCAGCGATCCTTCCGCCTCAGCCTTCCAAGTAGCTGGAACTACAGGCGTGTGCTACCATGCCCGGCTAATTTTTGATTTATTGTGGAGATGAGGTCTCGCCAAGTTGCCCAGGTGGGTCTCGAACCCGTGGGCTCAGGCAATCCACTCACCTCGGCCTCCCAAAGAGCGGGATTACAGGCTGAGCCACTGAGTCCTGCCCATTCCTAGTTTTTCAGTGGTTGTCCTTAAATTTTTGACAGGGATACTTAAAGTTTGAAAGTCATATATGTACTTAATATTTATCCTACATATATTTCAGGAGGAAACACAACCAACTCCTTTATAAATGTTGGCAAACATATTAATATAGTATAGAGCAGTACAGTTTTGTGGAGAACCTTAGGAAATTCTGTGGGAGGTGTCGATGTGTTACAAAAAGGCACAGGCTTGAGAAACAGTTGGGTCTATTTGTACTATTTATTGGCTGTGTGACATTCAGTGAGTCAATTCACCCCTCTGAGCCTCTCTTTCCTCATGGGTAAAAGAATAGACAAGTGATATCTGGCAGGGTTACAGTCAGAATGAATTGAGATAATGAATTCATCTAGCAAGTGAAGACTGAACGTTAATAGATAAACAGAAGGTAAACAGGAAGGCAGGGAGGGAGGAAGGAAAACGTGAAACGTTGAAAAGGAATTCAGGTTGCCAGTGCCCCTCATTTCATGAAAGAACAGAAATATGCTCCCATATCAGCCAAAAAATTAGTCAGACGCGAATTTCTAAGTAATTCTTGTCTAGATTGCTACCATTCAAGCAAATTCATTTCATGTCTTAAGGACAAAACAACAAAGACAAACCAAACTGCCTAGAGTCCTGAGCTATGCTCGGAGCTGTCTGTCACTCAGGAAGGTTCTTAATAAACTGTGAGAGGCATCAGGCACCTGAGACCTCTCTGAAAAAGAACCCCTCAAGTGACTCATGAATGCTGATAGCTGGAAAAGGAGAAACATCACCTCTCAGTCAAATGAACTTTATTCTTTTTTTCCTCAGATATATATAGTTTTTGAGTCAGGGTCTCACTCTGTCATTCAGGCTGGAGTGCAGTGGCAACCTTGACCTACTGGGCTCAGGCAATCCTTCCATCTCAGCCTCCCAAGTAGCTGGGATTACAAGCGCACATCACCATGCTAGGCTAAATTTTTTATTTTTTGTAGAAACAAAGTCTTGCCAAGTTGTCCAGGCTGGTCTCGAACCCTTGGACTCAGGCAATGCTCTCGCCTCTGCCTCCCAGAGTGCTGGGATTATAGGCATAAGCCACCATGCCCAGCCTCAAAAAGAAAATTTTAAAAGAATCACCAGACAACAGACACAGTGCTTTTGACCAGCACCCATAATAGTGCAGAGTCCTGGTCTCCACCCCTCCCAGGTCCCCTGCCTCCGCCCCTCCCCCACCTCCTCAACAGCTTTCTAAGAGAATACACAGAACGCCTTAGTGGCCATTGGTTCTGCAGAGATGTTTTGAGATGGCTGCCTCTTGGAGTAGGTTTGGAGATATGCAGAAGCACTACACACCTTCCAAGGCAAGTAAACTGGACTTATTTGGTGGTGTTGATGAGTTGAATTTTTTGGATTGGCCTCTGCCCTCAGGAATGTGGAAAGAACTCAAGTGTGTAAAGGGATGGTCAGCTTCAAGCCTACCTGACACAACAATGAACTCATCTCTGGACAAGGACAGCTGACGAGCTATGGGTGGGAGCCGTCACGCCATATCCAAGTATGAATACAAGCCTTCTATCCATTTCCGAACATATTTAAGTATGTGGAAAGCAGTAGGCTTTTACATGAGGGATTCTCTCAGGAGATGATCAGTGTCACCTTGGTGACAGACAAGAGGAGGAACATTTGGTAAGAAGGGAAGAGATGAGCGCCATAGTAATATCCCTGGCTGCTACAGGCCTTAGTGTGTGAGATAAAGGCTGAGATACAAAACGTGTGAGACCAGATGAAAGAACGCAGTGAAGACAATGTTGCCCCCCTCCTCTGTCACAAACCTGGGCTGGGCCCCCCACATCCCCATTCCCAGGAAACATGCTGATTAGAAAAGATCGGTCTCTATGCAGTGATAATGATCACAATGTTACTTGAGTTTTAGAAATGCAAACGTTTGTTCTGCACTAGTATCACATAAACATGAGTTAACAGATACACAAGTGTCAGAGTGTGTGCCTTCAGGTAAAAAAGCCTTAATAAAATAAAGAGAGGCTGCTGGAAGAAATAGATAATGAAAAGGCATGAGAAATTAGAAAGAGATAACAGTGTTTAATTGGACACGGATCACAATGCTGATAGTTCCAAGAGGGTTCACTATGTTCTGGGCCCTAGAACAAGCCTCAACAAATTTAAAAGAACTGAAATCATACAAAGTATAGTTTCTGCAATAGACTTAAACCAGAAACAATACAGAAGATAGCTCTGAAAAATCTCCTAAGTATTTGAAAATTAAACATGAAAGAACCAACCAGTGAAAGAGGAAGTCACAAGAGAAATTAGAAAATGGTTTGAGTTAAATGAAAATAGACACAATAAATCAAAATTTATGGTATGTAACTAAAGAAATATGTAAAGGAAAATTTTAATAAAAAAGCATCGCAAAGGTGCCATCATAGAGAGAAGAGGGAAAGATCAAGGAACCAACAGCTTTGGAGAATAATTTCAACTTTCTCATGGAAAGTTCAACATAACAACAGAGACAAACCAAATTGCCTAGAGCCCTGAGACATTCTGAGCCATCTGTCACTCAGGAAGGTCCTTAGTAAACTGTGGGGGGCATTGGGAAAAGAATCCCTCAAGTGACTCATGAATGCTAATGGCTGGAAAAGAAAAAATATCACCTCTCAGTCAAATGAACTTTCTTTTTTCTTCCTCATAAATAAGATTTTTCTTTTGAGTCAAAGTCTCACTCTGTCACCCAGGTTGGAAAGCCACCCTGAACTGGAGGAGGGGACTTCCTGGCCTTGGCTCCTCACACTTGGCAACGTGTTGTCTCTGCAGGTTTCTCTTCTTTACTTCTAGGTTGTGACTGAAGCCACTCCCATCTGGGCTGGACACCCGCCCCGTAGGTCTCCAGGCTCAACAGTGACATCCAGAGTAACACACCCTGACCACACTCAAGTGTAAGGATGAGTACACTCAAGTGTGAGGCTGAGTACCAGGAAACAACCAGTCGGCTTGATCACCGTAAAGGAAGATTGGGATCATTCCTGAAGAGTCTCCTCAAATGTGTGAAAACAGAGAGAAGGTCCTCCCCACCCACTTCAAAGAATATTATTTGAATTCTTCTTTTTTTTGAGTTGGAGTCTCACTCTGTCACCCAGACTGGAGTGCAGTGGCCGCTCCCGGCCACCGCAGCCTCGACCTGCTGGGCTCCGGCGATCCTTCCGCCTCAGCCTTCCAAGTAGCCAGAATTACAGGGGCGTGCTACCACGCCCAGCTAATTTTTTAAATTTTATTGTAGAGATGAGGTCTCGCCTGCCCAGGCAGATCTCGAACCCGCGGGCTCAGGCAATCCACTCACCTCAGCCTCCCAAAGGCGCGGGATTACAGGCTGAGCCACTGAGCCTGGCTTATTTGAATTCTTATTGTGTTCTTGCAAAAACATTTTACACTTCTCATTTTCATTTCATTTTCATAACATTATTGATTCTTTTATTCAAAGTATTGTAAAATCAAAAACATCATAGAACATATAATCACTTACCTTGTAGCTTTTAAGTCTGATGAAATCAACCTTCATAGAGACAAATCGATCTGAATTTCGGCTGATGTTCTTCAGGTGTTCTACGAGATCAGCACAGAACTTGTAACCTCCTTTAAGCACACACAGGACCATGATGTCACTATAGCCTATGTCTTTCATAATATCCTTAGCCAGCCGCTCGATTCTGAAATAAGTCAGGGATAAAAGCTATATTAAAGCACAACTACTTCAGAGTATTTTTGTTGCTTGAAGAATAATGAACGATGGCAGTGTACAGGAGCTCACAACTGTAATCCCAGCACTTGGGAGGCTGAGGCAGGAGGAATGTCTGAGTCCAGGAGTTCGAGATCAGCCTGGGCACCATAGTAAAAGCTTATCTCTACACAAAATAAAAAATAAAAAAATTAGCTTGGTGAGGTGGCACGTGCCTATAATCCCAGTTACTTGGGAAGGTGAGGAGGGAGGACTGCTTGAGCCCAGGAGCTGGAGGCTATGATGAGCCGTGATCACGCCATTGCATTACAGCCTGGGTGACAGAGTAATATCCTGACTCAAAAAAGAAAAAAAATTCATGATATATTATAGAGATTGATGATTCAAGGGAATATGGAGAAGAGTTTAGGAAACAGAAACCCACAGATAGAAAAGCTTTGTTGGCCAGGTTTGGTGGCTCAGCCTGTAATCCCAGCACTTTAGGAGGCCGAGGTGAGTGGATTGCCTGAGTCCGGGGGTTTGAGACCAGTCTGGGCAACTTGGCAAGCATGGTAGCACGTGCCTGTAGTTCAGTTACTTGGAATGCTGAGGTGGAAGGATCACTGGAGCCCAGCTGGTCAACTCTGGGGTGGCCGTGAGTGTGCCACTGCACTCCAGCCTGGGCGACAGAGTGAGACTCCAACTCAAAAAAAAAAGTTTTGTTAGGGCTGGGCACAGAGTATGTGTTTACAACATACTTCTGACAGCCTTATCATCAGTGTATATTACTGTTCCTCTATACCATAAAAACTATTAAGGTGTAAAATATAGTGTCAGAAACCAGGGTTGCTATGATTTTATGACTAAGAGCCTGGCTGTCAACCATGTTCTAATGGTATTTGGTGATGTTATGCTCATCTTACGGCATAGGAAAAGGAAATGAGAGTGACTCACCCGCCTTACACCAGTAGAGGCAACTGGGGGAAAGTCAAGCCCATAGCAACCATCAGAAGAATAATATGTATCTTACTTTTGACAAATGTGATGCATCTCATAGTTCACATTGCCTATGTGAAAGTTGCCCCAGAGAACAATGTAAGAGGCAGCACTTCCCTGGAACACGATGTGAAGGACGCCCCCTGGAGTTGTGCAATGTGATCTCACAGCCCCCTGGACTGCCACCTGATACCACTCGGAACTGTCCTTGTGTTTTTCTCTAATTGTGGGGGAGACAGATTTCACAGAGTGAAAGACAAAAAAAAAAAAAAAAAAACAACAACCAGCAATGAATATAAAACAGTTATTAATCTGTCATGGGATTTGAGTAAAAAACAAAAACAAAATAGTTACAAATATGATAGATACTAAACTGATTATATCAGTAATCAATTTAAATATGAGTGGTCTAAATACACCAATTCAAAGACAGAGACTGTCAGAGTGGATTTAAAAAAGATCTAACTATATGCTGCACACTTTAAATATAAAGACACATATATCAAAATAAAAGGATGAAGAAAGATGAGTTATTGCTACCACTAATCAAAAGAAAGCTGGGGTAGGTATCTTAATTTCAAACAGAGCAGACATCATAGCAAGGAAAGTTAAAAGGGATAAAGAGAACCATTACATAAAGATAAAGAGGTCAATTCTCCAAGAAGACATAACAATCCTTAATGTGTATGAACCTAACAACAAAGCATCAAAAAACAAAGAATTACAAGGAGAAATGGATAAATCCACTATTGTATTTGGAGGCTTCAACACCCCTTCTACCAGTAATTGAAAGATCCAACAGTCAGAAAATCAGTAAGAATAAGTTGAATAATAAGTCCATCAGTAATAATAAGTAAAAATCAGTTGAACTAAGTACCATCAACCAATTGATATAATTGGCATGCAGGAAATACTTCATCCAACAAGAGCAGAGTACACACTCTTCTCAAGAATACCAATAAAAAATAAAAACACCAGCTATATGCTGGAAGAAAATATTCGCAAATCATATATCTGATAAAGGACTCGTATCCAAAATATATAAAGAGCTCTTACAACTCAAACACTGAATTTTTAAAAACTGGCAAAAGGCTTGAATAGACATCTTTCTAAAAAAGACATATGGAGCGGGGCTCGGTGGCTCAGCCTGTAATCCCGCGCCTTTGGGAGGCTGAGGTGAGTGGATTGCCTGAGCCTGCGGGTTCGAGACCCGCCTGGGCAGCGAGACCTCACCTCTACAATAAATCAAAAAATCAGCCGGGCGTGGTAGCGCACGCCTGTAATTCCGGCTACTCGGAAGGCTGAGGCGGAAGGATGGCCGGAGCCCAGCATGTCGAGGCTGCGGTGTCCGGGAGCGGCCACTGCACTCCAGTCTGGGCGACAGAATGAGACTCCATCTCCAAACCATAACAGAAAATAGCCAGGTTCCCT